ATATATATATGTATGTATGTATGTATGTATGTATGTATGTATGTATGTTCATTTACTTAATGTCATAGAGGGAAGGTTGTATCTTTATTTTTGTTTTGCTCATTGTTTTCTCTTTTGTAATCCCCCTCCTCCTCCTTCTAGTGTTGAAGCCAATATGTTTTAACAAATGGGTTAATAAGCTTGAACTAGATAACTGCAACTAAAAAAACTGCACATTAAGTAAAAACAAAAGAAGTCTATTTTGTCTTCGTTGCCAGAAATCAGTGTAGTGTCAAACACTCCAAATGACTGTCAAGTATAAATTCTTCTTCCACTCCATCTTTGGCAGCTGTTTGTTAAGGCATCTAATAACAGATGTGAGAACTGTAATGTGTACAATGTGTAAGTGTCCTTGGCTGTCAGTCTCATTGCAGTTTCAATGTGTGTTACTATATGCAGTATATACTAAGCTAATGTAGTTGTTTTGTCCTTTGTCTTCTCTGTGCTTTATCTCTAGTCTGGAGTGGCAAAGTCCCATTCCTACAGTCCTAGTGAACCAGTGATTCTTGGGGGTTAGTGGTTTTTGTGTGGTGGCCTTCCTCTGTAATGTCACCTTATGCTGCTTCCACTGTCTGTATACCTTTTCATTTCTGCTGTTGCTTTGCTGTTGTGTATTTTCAGACCTTTCTCTCCCTCTGTTTACTTCCAACCCTTCACCTTTCCTTCCCAATTTCTTCTTCTAACTCTCTCTTTTTCCATTCTCAGAGATAAAAGACTCTTAACTAGCTCAAGGTTAATGGAGCCATTTTTCCCCACAGAGGAGTTCTGGGTATGTCTTGCTCGTACAGTGTGCACCACACAGTGCACTAAAGAGTGATACTCAGACATATTAAATGAAGTGATGCCGTATAGCCTCAGTTGTTAACATTTCCAGAGTCCCTTGTGCTCTAACTGTAAGTAGAGGGTGCATTTCTTTGGTGTTCTCCCAAGTTGGTTAACGGAATAATAGAGAAAGAGCAACCTGAAATGAGATAGAAAATTCTCAGAATGCTCAACCAACGTGGTTCAAAAGCAAAGCTGAGCTTTGGATTGTCAAATATATATTTTTGCATACATGTGCAATGCTAATGTCTTTTAGCTCAGCAGTTCTCTACTTTGTGGATAACCCTTTGTGTTGAAATAATTCTGAGTACAGTGGGGTTTGAATTGGAGAAGTAGAGAAGTAGAGATGAGAAAGAGTGGGGTAGAGTGATGCCCACAAAGGGCACCGAATGTCATAAATTTTGATAATGAGCTTGTAAAGGGTTAATTTGAAAGATTTTAAGTAGATTTCAAGGCCAAGAGAAACTGATTTGGGTTTCCCTTTGGAAGTTCTAGCTGTTGAACAATCAAAGGAGTGCACCTATCGGCTACAAAGACAGCTAGACAGCTGTTGTTGCTTTATTTTATTTTATTTTTTATAAATGTTTCTGTGTTGTGTCAAAATGATTTCTGGTGATTTAACCTAACAGATAATCACAGCTGCTGTCTAAATCCATAGTGTTTAAAATTACAAAATGGAAAAAAAAAAAACTTCATTACCTGTGAAGACTGTGTCTGTGTTTTTAACTATTTCTTGTACAAATATATGAAATCTTTTATGAGGAGACTGGTGCCAAGTAGCTGAATAAAGGGGAAAGGGATTCTGTTCGTATAAATCTTAGCAGTGTTACCAACTCTACAATATAAAAAAAAATAATTAAAATGTTTAAAAATGACAGCTATGGTACATTTATTTTGTGTTAACCTAACCGAACCTAACTTCCTGAGTGCCTGGCTTATTCGAAACATTTTTTTTTCATTGATCATTGATAATGCTGCAAATCAGAAATGTACATACTTCATTTACAACAGGGTTCTTTTTATACTTTTGTAGATTCTCATACATGTCATACATGGTTGTCTTTATGTAACTTAATTTTTTTCATCCTGCAGGTGCCATTTTCATAATAAACTTCTCTTGGATTTGTTACTATCTGGCATCATTTCTTTTACATACGATCATCCTGATTAATTAATGCTGGTAGTATTTGTTTAAGCAGGGTACCTTGTTTGATCATTTTCTTTTAAAAACTAAAAGCTAAAAAAAAAGAGGATGCAACTAGATTATTTTTAAAGTTGATAAGCTTTCCAAAGTGACCTACGTAGAAGCAGGCTGACAATGCTAATCCAAATACTACACTAAACGTGCCACCATCCTAAATTCTCAGCTACCCCAACTCATTATCATACTGAGCATTTTATGCACATTATCAAAGCTGAATAATAGGGCTGAAATGTTAACCATGGCAAAAAGTGTGACTTCAGAGAACAGCTTGCCTATACTGATCACCAAAAATGCAGATTTATCCTTTCATATACGATATCAACATACCCAGACTCTTTGTTACTCATATTCTATTTAGGCATTTGATTTATCCCTCACCCTGTAAAATGGAAAATACGTACATCATGATCTCATACATACTTATTAACCAGGCTTCTGGCAAACAAACTGAGGACAGAAGGGTTTGCCAGAACACAAAACTGAGACCTTGACTTCAGGGTAAAAGGACATAAAATAGGCTTCAAAATCACATGGAAGTATTGCCATTTAAAAATGAACATTCACCAGAACTACTAAAAGATACTTGATGGTATGCATGAAGTTTTTTGGGTGACAGTAGCAAACAGTGACTTTGAGATAACAGCAAGAGTTGGTACTGATATGTTGATACTAACTGGAATGTGATGTTTTATTACACATGAATTCCATTGATTTGGGCAATGTTCCTGGTACATTTTGTTTAGGCATACTGTCTGCATTGCAAAAGTAGCAGATATTCTTTCTGGTTTTCACTTACAGCCTACACCTTTCCCCTGTTAGGCTTACAACTTTGGGAAATAGACCAAAATTTTAATCTGAAAATAGGTGTAATTTGAGCAGTGAGTTCACAGTGGAAGTGTAATTTTGAATTTGAAAGAGACCTTCTTTTCAAAATCAAGCTCAGAGGAAAATTGCTCTGATGTTCAGTAGAAACTGAATTCTCAACACGCTGATTGGCTTAGGTCAGTAGAAACAGGAGACAGGCTCGGCCCTGTGCTAGTCATGAAACTACTATGTCCCTGAAATGTGGGAAAGGCAAATCAGAAGGCTGTCTGTCTGGTGGGCTTACTACGAAGCAAGGGGGCAAGAGAATTTACTTTTGAGCTTTTAAGTTATACTTAGAATTTAGGCTGCTTCCATATATTTAATTTTTAATATCTCTGTACACATCACTGATTCATTCTGGAAGAAAAATGTGTTGCACATGCCATCATGTGTATGCATATATTCAAAAACTAAATAATAACTATTCCTCTATCAACCATATTATTATTGCCTCCCCATTGTTTTAATGTAAGCTAGTACATTAATAAAGGCAGAATGTTGTCTTCTTCCCTAACTTGTCATGATTCATCCAGGTTAATACTTGGCAAATGTATTACTTCAAGGTAGACTAGTATACCCTAATACGTAATCTGTCCAAGTGTAAGGCTTTGGGGTTTGGTTTTATATTTTAATCCCTGGTCCTCCCAGTTAGCCTAAATAAATGTTACGACTGAAGTGGAATTCAGCTGTCCAATGCTGGTCTCTATGGATAAGCAAATTTATTAGGGAATAAATCTATTTTATTGTCCATCTTGCAGAATCTTGACATTTTAAATGTAAAAATTTGGACTTAAATTTGCTGGTCCCTTGGGGCGGGTGCATGGGAGATTACAGGTACTCAGGTGAAAAAGTGAGAAGTGACTGGAGGTCTGGTTTTCCTTCACAAAACAAAAATGCCCCATATCCTAGCACTATGGGGCTCTCTCTAGAGAGGTTGCTATGCAGCACTTTCTAAATAACCATGCGGCCACACAATGTTGCTGTGGAAAGAAAGAGAAATTAAGAGCCGCAGCCAGCTGCCCTCAACTTTTGTTCATGCTCTATGTTCTATCCTAATAGTGAATCTTGAATTTACATTCATGGACTCAAGTTTTTAATCTTCAGCTCAGCTGTTATCAGAGTTATAAGGTAGTAAAGAAACTTTTAAGGCCATCATCCACAATTTCTTGGTAGGAAGTCCCATCCTATAAAGCACCAAATACAGGATCAGGCTTTTTGACTCTCATGTTCCAGTTTTAATGGAGATTAAAAATACTTCTGCAACAAAGGTTTAATTAGGTTAGAAACTAGCAAGTAATTACTTCAACTTTAAGTCATGAGCTCCTAATTTTTATCTACATTTTGGTGTTAAATATATGGGTGAGTTTGTCTATTCTGTCTGATATTCAACATTTACAGATAATATGAGGACCCCTCCAAGTGGTTCATGCAAATATAAATATCTGAAACTGTCAGGCTTGTCAAAAGCAAATGGCATGGTCAGAAGGAAATCATGTGGTCTAGCACCAGCTGACTATCAAAGTTCCAAAACAAGCAGGGCAACACATGGACCAGCAAAAGTATATTTGCCGCCTCCTCTCATAGATTGTTTATGCTGGGCATTGCAGTTCTGGAACAATGTTCTATTTGCTAGCAGAACCTGTTCTGGTTCCTCCTGGGCTAAAAGGTTGCGGTTAGTCTGCCCGCTGTCAGAGAAATATTGTGAAGCAA